GAAGGGAAGATAAAAAGAAGATCGAATGATGCTTACCATATAAGAATACAGGTTCGATTTTTGTCGGAGAACGAATATTTTCTTCGAAATTTCAGGCTGGTAAATGTAATTAATACTCTTCAATTAAGAGCAGTTCATTTACTTAAATAAATTGTATCGATAAAATTAACGACTAAAGAGAATATATATATATATATATATATTGTGGGTGTATTTAGGCAGCATCTTTTCATTCATGCACGTTTCATTAAATAATATAGACAAGTGTTGTCTATTTTATGTAAATTTTTTTTCGTAACGTCATGATAAGTTTAATAACATTATCGTTGAACGAAGAAAGAAATTCACAATATTGATCCATATTTTTTTAATACAATCTAAGCTTTCGGATTCCATAAGCCATTATCAAAGATGTAAATTACAACATATTAAGCAATATACGGACACGACAGTGATGATAGTCTGAGATATATATATATATCTATATATATATATATATATATATATATTTGTTTGAATAAAAACAGACACTTTAGGGTTCCATGTAATAAGTTATTTCACCACAACTCCTTTAACAGGGCTCTGGATCATCAGACTTTACTTCCAAAGGTTGAAATGAAAAATGAAAAGAAATTCACACGTTTTTGAAATGGTACATCTAACCCACTCATATCTTCTCTCCCACCTCACTTCCTCAATTTTACATATGCTTGATGCGGTCCGTCAAAAACGTGTGAATTTCTTTTCATTTTAACTTATTACATGGAACCTTAAAGTGGTCTGTTTTTATTCAAACATATCGGCTCTGAATTTTACATTGAGCTCTCCGGATATCATCCTCCTTGAGTCTACCATGCGGATTACCTAGTTTTGTATAAACTAGGTATATATATATATATATATATATATATATATATATATATATATAGAGAGAGAGAGAGAGAGAGAGAGATGTATACTAATTGCCGTCCAGTAAGATACTCATAAAAAATCTTTCTCCAGAAAAAAACGACATTAATTTAAATTAAAAATATGAATAAAAGGGGATTTAAAAATCCGCTTTCTTTTACGTAAATAGATAGGTTAGTAATCGAAAATTATATAATTATAAACAATACATTAAGAAGAAAAAAAGAATAAGAGGATGAAAAATAGAAGGGAAAAAAGAAACAAAGACGGGGTTAGACAGAAACAAAAAGAGGTTAATATGTATAAAGAATAGACAATTGTCTACGGAATGTAGAAAAAAGAATAACGGAATAAACGAATATATGAATAACAGAATGAAAGTGAACTAAAACAACAAAGCCAGAACAAACATTTTCGTAAACAATGCGTAGCAAGTTGAAAAATGAATGTTTTGAAAAATTCATATGAAAACATTTTTTGTAAAAAAATCTAAGATAATAAACCGCTTCCGCGTCACTGTTTCTGGGAAAAATATTATATTGTAAATGTAGGAAATCTATTTCATTATTATTGAATTCCCTTTTTAACTATTTATTAGTACTTCTTAATATATATTAGTATTTATTAGTATTTATCAGTACTTAATATTTATTTGTATTTATTAGGATCTATTAGTGCTTATTAGTATTTATTATTATTCATTAGTACTTATTCGTATTTATTAAGGAGGCATGGTGGAATAATAAATAACGCCTCGGATTGAGGATTCGGAGAGCCGAGTTCCAGTTCACATTCACTTACGTGCTAATACCTTTGGGAAAGGTATGAATAATAACATGACTGACTGGGTTCTATAGCCTTGGGTGGCAACCTGTCTTTAAATTAAAAAAATAGCCTCGACAGTGTTGGACTCCGTAGGGTCACCACATGTACTGCAGTTGCAGTACATGTGGTGACCCTACGATCCTGATAGGTCATAGGATTCGTGATCGCGATAAGTATTTATCAGTATTACAATTTAATTATTATCCTGTTAGTGAAACGGCTTATTTCGTTCACTTGGAAAATCTTAATTAAAACTGAACTTCTTTATTTCTGGATTCATTTCGTTGTTCTTAAAAGCAAAGTTTGAACTGTTACATTTACTCTATTTAATTTCTTCTTCTTCTGTCCGGATCTAGGCGGTCGTAGTTCTCCACAACTTCCTGTCATTTGTCACTCTTTTTGTCTTATTGCTATCTCTCTTAGATTCCGATCTGCCAACTATTTACACAAATTCGTTAAGTAAGCATTTTCTTCTATCATTAAGATTCTTTCTCTTATACGGTTTGCCTTCAGTATACCATATGTGTATCAAATTCTCCAAGCCTCCTTTCATCAATATAATTTTACAATATTCTCTTCTAATTTGCCAATGAATCTTACGGAGAAAAATGTAATTATTAACCATTTATATTTACTATATGTTTTATTATTTTGTTTTTTTCATCATAGCTGATAGGCACGTGGCCGAGTGGTTACAACGTTAGCATTCTGGGCATGAGACCCGGGTTCGAATCTCATCATGGTCGATTTTTCAGCAAAGAGACTTTCTGATATTATCGGTCTGCAAGGGGTCGATCCCTTTGTGAAGTGCCTCAAAATAATAACACAGGTTTACCCAGCCTTGTGATTCTAACTGGGTAGACGGAACACTCCCGCAACATATAAAAACATTTGAGATTAATAAATTCTAAATATTACAACTCTTTGGTGTATAAATCAGGTGAGACAGATTTAATGGAATTAACATAGTATAGGTTGCTTGTCTCCAACAGCATAAGATACTATAAAAAAGAAGATTAATTTGCGAATTCGAGTCATGTTCTTAAATTGACTCGTTGAATCTAAACTCACGTATGGATGTCTTCCATCTAATTCAGAAATATCTAAGTTATCGTCTGTATCGAATAGTTTTCTCATATTAAAAATTGCTTAGAGTGTTTCAATTTGTCTTAAAACACGATACTTTTTCAGACTGGTATTAGAAAATCAGAAATATCTTTATCAAATAGAAAAAAAAAACAGCGACCTGAAGACTTTGAACAGCAAACTAACAACAAATACGTAGAGTCCAAATGGCTACAAGTGAAATTAATGATATGCAGAGGACACTACCATATACTCCGGTCTCAATAATAAACACGGCAGCGCTGACAAAATCAACATGGCCGCTGGATAGAAAATGACCTGTAAATTTTAATGCCTCCGAAAAGAAACTGTTTTCCTTTAGGCACCACAGTGATAATTCCCTGCCTGCCATTAGCATGGATTGATGTTAGAATCTAGGAGAGTATCTCTTTGCTCCATCTTCGTCTTACGCTTTCGAATGGCTTGAAGTGGAACAACTACATTGAATCAATAGCTACATCTGCTGCAAGTAAATTTGTCTCACTATGTCGTACAAGAAGGTTTTTATCGTCAAGAGTCCGTCCTACATTTCTGCAAATCTGCCATTCGCCCGTCCATTGAGTACTGTTGCCATATATGATCTAGTACCCCTTCTGTTCCTCTCGAGGATCCCCGCAAACTCCAAAGAAGGATCTGCAATGTAATCGATCCTGACTTGGCATCTCGACATCAGTCACTTTCTCACAGAAGTGATGTGGCTTCCATCTACAGATATTTTCATGGCAACTGTTCTGTCGAACTTTATTCCGTGGTGCCCCGACTACATAGATTTAAGCGTGCTACTAGTCTGGCATCTAGGCCCCGACCTTTTAACGTTGAAATAGATGTAACCGTCAATTCTACTCCGGCAGCTTTTTTTTCGCGCTTCCTGTCTGTGGAATTTCCTTCCGTTTAATTGCTTCCCTGAGAACTACAATCTTCAAAAATTTAAATGCAACATCTATCGCCAACTTCTGCTGTCTTCAAAACCCGTTCATCATTTATTCTTTCCTCTTTCCACAATATACACTCTTTTTCTCTCACCTTCACTCTAGCGAACTAGTAACACTCCCGCCTTGCTTGGGGGGAAATGTTTTAAAAAAAATATAATCAAGATTATAACTTTCCACATTTCATTAAACAAAATGCTTGGAAGGAAACATTCATCTGTAATAGAAAGAGCAAAAACAGAGGACACGAGAAGCCTATTTTTCCTGAAAAAAAAAAAAAACCTCTCCTAAGAGAAAGATTTTATGATTTTCAATAGATTCTGACGATATCTGTTCGGCCAATAAATGCTAAATGTTTCCTTATTAGGAAACGGCTAATTTCACCATTACATTTAACATCGGTTATGAATAATTTTTGAAGGATATCATGTTTTTCTAAGTTGAATATCAACAATAAATATATTCAATAATAAATAAAAATTCTATACGAATGTTCAAAATAGTGGTATACTTTTTATTTTACATGAAATAAGGTTTATTTCTTTTATTGAAATTGCTGATATTATCATAACACACTGTTTCGAAATTCTATATTGATAGGCGGCAAGATGGCGGGCTTTATGCAAAGAATAGCAAGGACATTTCTGTTCTTCAAGTTTCTTACCAAAACCGTTTCTTCCAGAATGATTGTGAAATTCTCACTTTGCTAAAGAAAAAAAAAAATTCTTGAACCTTTTTTCTATTTTTATTAAAGCTCACGGAATACAAGGTAAGAACTTCTCAAGAAAAATGGTTACTGTATGAGGTGTTGGATACGAATATAAGAGGAGGAAATAGAGAATGAATATTGTGAAGATAAAAATGATAGATAACATTGTATTCTTGACTTGAAAACGACAAGATTGAAGAGTTCAAAATGTTTTTGATTGGCCGATTGATTTATATTTTTTACTACTTATCCACCCATTGCAGGTTATTTAAAGCCATGAAATATTTTTTTTAGATTGTAAGAATTTTTTTAGCGACAGTAATGATTCACTGATACACGTCCGACTAATTAACCCCTACCAGGGAGAAAAAGATGAGGATGATTCATATCTTTCCAAATCATATTTGCGCGTAAATGCTTGTAACGAACCTAACTGGAATTGAAATCGGCTCTCCAATCTTCAATTCTGTACCGTTATCCATTACACCACTCGCACACCCAAGCTTACAGCACCTGGTATTCCCAAGCGGTTATCCATCTAGGTACTCACTGGACTCGACGTTATTTGACTTCGGTGTTCGTAAAGGAACCGGTATTTCAACGTGATATGGCTTTAAATTGCAGTTTTCAGGAAAGTAATCATACGGGAGACTGTTCGATACAGCAGCTGTTCTTTTGGGAAAAAAATTGTGTGCCGAGCGCCTTCTTGACAGTTGGAATACGGAGGAAAGTAGAGTGATTCGAATCTGTGAATCTAGCAGGATGAGTTTTAGCTGTAATGCTTTGAGCAGGTGGAACCAACGAGATTAAAAAAAAACAACATAACATCATACTGTTGTAATCTTGATTTTCGTCCATAAAACATCCCGATTTAGTAATCTTCTACTTTGAGTGGCTCTTGGTCCTTGTATTGAATGAACATAAAAAATCCGAAATTTACCATACGATGTAGCAATAAGTTTTAACGTTTTCGTCTTTGGTAAAGAGGCCGCAGAGTGGAAAATGAGACACCATCCACGCCCATCCAAAACTCACGTAAATGATTTCGAACTCTAGCTTCGTTTTTAAACGCGCAACGCTTACGAGGACACAACTGAAGCTCGACCACACGACACTCGTTAATCTTTTGTAAATTTGGTAACCACTATTACAACTTTTAGTAAGAATATATTTATGAAGATTTTAGACTGGCAGAAGGCAATGGACATCGTGGATCGACTGAGATAAATTGCATATTGGAGTTTTGTGTAATATCTCACCCAACAAAGATAGAGGAAATCTGAACAAAGTTCGCTTGAAGGCCTTAAGAGTCCGCATGCACCAGACTAACCAAGAGTCACTTACGAAGATAGAGTTGAAAAAGAAAATCTTATACTAAGTAATGAAGCTTCAGGTCTTATTTTAAATTGAAGGAAAGAAAATATATGAATAAGTGAGATATAATAAATTCAACTTATACGCAAAAGATCGTGATGTATATATATATCTAAGCTCAAAGCTATATGAGCTGAGTCATCTCTGGCTACTATGCAACGGCAGAATTCGAAATTGTAAAAGTTATTAGCAAATAGACTCTTAAAAAAAAGCAACATAACATCATGCTGTTGTAATCTTGATTTTTACATGAATGACATTTAGTTTTTATTAAGTTATTCACTAACAGAAGGAAGTATCATTTGAGAACCGTAGATCGATCGAAATGAATTGTAGATTATGAGAATTTCTAGGAAAAGTTGATTTTCTAACTTAGAATGATTTAGTAAGTTTCTAAACTTGATGCTTGGTTAATTTAAATTTTAATATTCGTAACTTTTATTTTTAATTACATAATAAATTGGAAATTAATGAGTTATCCTGATTTCCTATAAAATCTAATATTAATTTTAAAGCATGAATAAATTGTATCTAGGGTTCGTTGTCGCGTAATTTGAATTATATACTTGTAATATGATTGGCCACTACAGCTTACGTAAAAATATTCTCCCTAGTGGGGGTAGTGGGTGGTTTCGAACTCTTTAAAACATTTTTTTTTTATTTTACAAGCCACACCGTCACTTGACAAGACACCAGAAGTGTTGAAACAAAATGGCTATGTCTTCATCTTTGTCTCCATATTTATCACAATGTTTCGGCTGTTGTACGCTCCGGCCTTCTTCAGGTGGTTAGAATGTCGAAATGGAACACTTTATTTCGCTCACTCGGGTAGACTGTTCTATTTCCACGTGCCATGTTTAATGGATGTCAGTTATAAGTTATATCCTGTTAATTCTCCTCTCCAAGTTCACCACTGCCTTAACCGGCTATTGAACTCACACTATTTGGGTCCTGTCCCTGGATCTAACCAACGCCTTTATCCACTGTGCCATGTGTCCTCGACATTCCAACCACCTGAAGAAGGTCGGAGCGTGCAACGGCAGAAACGTTGAGATAAATACGGCGAAAAAGCTGAGGACAATAGTCCGAATAATGTAAATAAATCTTTTTCAGTTTTAGCAAGATTGGTAGAAAAATCTTCTCGCAGACCATATAGAAATTGTGCTAACAATCTTGTTCCAACGTATAAAACAAACTTATACTACATCTAATGATAATTTTCAATTCTGACGTCCATAAAACATCCCGATTTAGTAATCTTCTACTTTGAGAGGCTCTTGGTCCTTGTATTGAATGGACATAAAAAATCCGTTACTGTGTCATTAAACGTAATTCCAATTCTATCATTCTCTGTCAGTTGACCGTGTGAGCCTCAGTATAAAATCAATTCTAAATTATTTACACTAGAGTATTTTCAATCTAATTTTTGTTTATGTATATAGAGTTATGGACTTTGATGCACCTTATTTCAAAAAGAACAATCTTTTATTTGTTTTTATATAAAGCGAACAAACAGATTATAATTAAAAAGAAATAAACGTATTTCGTAACTGGTCATTTTCTTTTAAGACACATTAACGTCCATTAATGATGATCTGCAAACGAAACAGTATCATTGATCGGCTAAATACAAAGCAGAAATGATAAATTAGAGCAAAATCCAGAAAAAAAATAAAAAGATGGATGGAGAAAATATATTATCGTCTCTAGACATAAAAATAAGCGAAAGCAAAGGCGGTCGAGGTGTTATTTTGGCAATTATCGGCTCCGTTATCTCTCTTGAGTAAAAGAAGTGATTGAGACAAAACGTAAACAAGTAAAACAAACAAACAAACAAATGGAATTTCTGCTCTTAGAGTTGTATGAATTAGTCTGAAACAGTAAATTAAAAGCTTTTACTTTCTATCTAGAATCTCAGTTCGACGTACATTTTAGACTTCTACGTATTCATTACAAATATAATTAACTACGCTTACGTTTTTTCCGCTTTTTCAGCTCGAAAGTTGAAAAATAAAAATAAATATATATATAAAAAAAAAAACATCGGGAGCTAAGTTCATTCTACTGTTTCATTTTTTTATGTTTTTAATTATTGTTATATTTTTTTTCTTATTTTATACTTCCCCTACAAACGCAAACAATAATAAATAACAGGATACCAATGTACTTTACGTGGTTTAACAAATATTTACTTTAAATATACAAGTATCTGTGTATGGAGAAATGGTAATTGACGTGGAAGGTGAAATCGGTAAGGCGAGTTTAATTTCCGGTCGACATTGCTGGCTTAGCTTTCTCGCTAATAGAAAATGCATGAACCCGTGTCTTTCCAATCTGCGCCAACTATAAGGTAAAATAGTAATGCAGACTGGGCTCTTTCGCCTTCACTGGTAACCAATCTAAGAGAAGGAAAATTGTGGGGAAGGAAATGAGAAAACATGTTATTGTCTTTCACCCCCCCCAAAAAAAAAGAGAAAAAAAAATGAAAAAAAACACACACAAACATACACGATAAATCATCGATAAAATGGCTAACAGCCGCATCATGCGGCAACACCTGTTCTCGTACGACCACCGAAAGTAAGCAACATCGTGTCTGGTCAGAACATAGATGGGTGACCTCCTGTGAATAACTGGTGCTGTAAGATTGGGTATTCGGCTAGTTTAATGCATGGCGGCACGGAATTGTTAATAAAAGAGCCGAGTTCCAATACACAAGTATGACTTTTCCTTAAAGCTATGGCTTAATTAGTAAAACTTGTATCATTAAACAATTATTGTCTCCAGGAAAAGTCTTACAATGTGAGAATATTTTCTAGCTTTAAACAAAATGCAATGGGTTGATGAGCCGTAGAAATCATAGCAACCAATTATCAGATGAAAAAAAAGTTCGAAATATATATATATATATATATATATAAATAAATATATTATGAAAGGGACAAAGTCATACAATTATTTTAAGACATTTTATGCTTTATATATACTTTTTATAGATACAAATATTTCAGGCCGGTAAATGTTGTTTAATAATGTTTATTATAAGCAGAGCATTTACTTACATATTTGTATACATAAAAAGAATGTATAAACATTTAGTTAACTAGCTGTATACTTATGTGCGATCTTCAATTGTGAATATTTGAATATAGATTTCATATCAATCTCTCTCTCTGAAAGCGTATCTTAGGATAAGATCTCATTACTTACATGGAATATGCTGTGTCCGAAAAGAAAAAAAAAAAAAGAAAATTACTAATTACAGTGATCGTAGCATTAAAATATGCTATCTACTTCACCGCTCCCACAACCCATATATATTGAATGGACTTCGAAGATGGAAGCCAGAATACGAATGCTGGTACCATTATTGAAGGCCGGAATGATCTTTTATCTTCTCATCATTACTCAGCTGGGACGACTTAATGGGGGGTTGACAAAAATGATTTTAATCTCCTCTCTATTTAGATAATTCGAAGGGTTTTCCTTGATTCTTACGACAAATGGTATTATCTAACAATCTGTAAAAAAAGAAACTCAATTAAATTATTTGTTGATTTTCAGGTATTAAACATTTTATGAGATGGCCAATTATCCAATTTTTACACGATTTGGGCAATTTTTCTGTTACAAACGATATATATATATATATATATATATATATATATATATATATTATGAAAGGGATAAAGTCATACAATTATTTTAAGACATTTTATGCTTATATATATTTTTTTATAGATACAAATATTTCAGGCCGGTAAATGTTGTTTAATAATGTTTATTATAAGCAGAGCATTTACTTACATATTTGTATCCATAAAAAGAATGTATAAACATTTAGTTAACTAGCTGTATACTTATGTGCGTTCTTAAATTGTGAAATTTTGCATAACTATCCAGCAGTATATACTTATTGGAAAATAAACCATCAAATTTGCCATGATAATGTCCGTCGAATGATGAAACGCGTCGGCTAAACTAAGTATAGTTTTCCTCTTGTCTTTTCATATATATATATATATATATATATATATATATATATATATATATATATGTGTGTGTGTGTGTGTGTGTGTGTATACGTATGTTTTGACAAATGTTAAGTCAACCCATGAGAAATAAAATATTTACTTTGGCATTTATAAATAACACCAGCATGTGTGACTCGAAATTACTCCCAGCAAACAAGAGACCATCGGAATTAACCAAAAACAGTTTCATAAACATACAAATGTCACGATACTTGAAAATGAATGTAGCAACATTCGAAAGTATTCAGGAAAACACACACATTATATATATATATATATATAGATAGAGAGAGAGAGAGAGAGAGAGAGAGGGAGAGAGGGGGTGAGAGAGAGAGAGAGGTGAGAGAGAGAGAGAGAGAGGGGGGGAGAGAGAGAGAGGGGGTGAGAGAGAGAGAGAGGGGAGAGAGAGAGAGAGAGAGGGAGAGAGAGAGGGGGGGGGGAGAGAGAGGGGGAGAGAGAGAGAGGGGAGAGAGAGAGAGAGAGAGAGAGAGGGGTGAGAGAGAGAGAGAGGAGAGAGAGAGAGAGAGGTGAGAGAGAGAGAAGAGGGGTGAAAATCAGTGACTAAGTAATCCAGTAAAAAAAATGAAGAAAATGTCACATACTGAGAATCAATTATTTGTACAAATTTATAATTTACATGTAGTTGGATTTGATAAAAACAAACGATTAAATGTACTGCTATGTAATATTAATGCTCCTGTATTCCAGCGAATGTTAAGATATGTCCCCTCCAATGTAGAGATCTTAGGTAACACATACATGGTTCTACTGAATTATGCTGAGATTACCCTGTGATTAAGTTTTAAGAAAAGGGATTAAAATGAAGCATATTTAGAAAAAGAGAATGAAAACTTTGCGGAGCATAACGAGGAAACAGAGCTTGAAAATATTCGCAAGATATATTGAAGGCAGTTGTAAAAATTAGTGAGGTTTAGAAATGGATGGCAGAACTGAGACTTATAGTGATAGTAACAAACATTAGTAATAGCTACGAAGGATAGGACATTGTGGAGAGCCATACCTCTCACTTACTGAAAGGAAACAGTATAAAAAAAATGAAGATGGCTGTAACGAAATCTTAGAATTAAAAGACAGTGATTATGTTTAATTCGATAAAATTTTACTGGATAACTTATATCTGGAAACCTTTGAGATTAAAATTATCCGAATTTTTTTTTTTAATAAAACCTCTTTGCGGCTTTTGTTAACTGATAATTGGATAAATTCAAAAGGTAAAGATTTCCTTTCTTTGATGTAATTATTTTGAAGAAAAAAATCGTTATTTTCTTCTTTCAATGTCGGAACAAAAAAGAAGCTTTCAATTATAAAATATATTGATAGGAAGAAGGTCTTTGATTCCGTATAAAAAGGTCCGGCATAAAAACTTGCTACACAAACTTTCCGGTTATCGAATCAATGGAACGGTCTTCTCAATTATAAAATCCTTCCTAGCATCCCCGAAGATAATTATTAACGGCCTGTTCCCCAGTCCATGGCGGTTAACGCAGGGGTCCGCCATGGACGGACAAAAACGCTTTTTGATTTTCATAAATGATCTGCCTAAGGATATACTCAGATCATTTGCAAATAACTATACCGATGATACAGTTATATACGGGCCCACCTCTAAAACTTGACGATCAGTGATTATCAGTTGGAACGGTGCCACAGCCCGTTTGGCTGTCAAACTCTCCGCCAAGGCGGAGAGGAACGAGGACGAAGCTTTGCCGAAGGGTAAAATTTCGTCCGGGAAGGTAGACAGGCCCTACACCCTTTTGTACGGGTTCGAAGGGAATATTTTTGGCCGAGCCTACGGGCCCGGAGAACCCACGATAAACTCGGCCTTGTGCCACATACGACCCACGTGGTGGAGGGCGTTAAATATATCAGTGATTAACAGTTGGGGGCTCTCTTCCGATCTAGCAATAACTAGTGGGAAGAAATACTGGTTACATTCAATGCCCCAAATAGTTATATTCCATCACCACTGGTTGGACCCCGAAATACCGCTTGTCTCGATAAACGGATATAACCTCGAGGAAGCATCATGTTTCAAGAGAATATTGGGTCTCAAACACACACTTGACCTCAAGAGGAACTCCTACATATCGGCTCCCTGTACTGCTCCAGTAATTACCTGTCTCCTTATACTATCCTCTACATTTATAAGTGCTAGATCAGGGCGAAAATGGAATACTGTTATCAGATTTGCAAGGAGCTGCCCATTCTTTATTTTCCAATCTTGATAGAGTCCAAAAACGTCTCCGAGTTGGGTGATAAATTATTTTTCATCCTCTAACTTCTCTATCACAGACGGTGGTGAAACTCTTACTGTTCTATCGCTAATTGCATGGAAAGTGCTCGGACGAACTACATTTCAGCCGTCAGTTCTAACCTTCTAACCGGCCATACCACTTACATTGTACCAAACCACTCACATTCCCCCACCCCCGTATTCCATCAGTGAGAAGTAAGTTCCACTCGAATAAATTCTTCCTGCGAACCACTGCTCTGTGGGACCAAAACCTAAAAGGATTTCCCCCTGATTACAACAATCGTAACCGATGCTAGTTTTCCCCTGATTACTACAATCGTAATTCATGTCTAGAGTTAATCATTATCTTCCCCTCCTGTCCGTATAAACTATCCTTAACGTAACCCTCTACCTCCGGTGGTCCTTGTGTCTTGTACAGAAAATCAGAAAAAAAATCAAGGGTGTTGATTTATTGTCCATATCCATTAATGTATGTGCCACTCTAAATTATCTATTATTTAATAATATATGTGGCTGGTGTAGCAGTTAAAATGCAGTAATTCAATCAGCGAGCCGCGTTCTAGTTAGTTGACTTTCCTTCGTATTAGTACCTCTAGGAAAGGAATGAATCCATATCTTATACCGCTCAACCTTGTAAAACATAGTAGCGTCGACTGTACTATTTCGGCTTGGTTGGCAAATAGTCTAGGAGAGGCACAACTCTACATTCATGGCCGTGAAGACAAATGCAAACCACCCAATCATCTTTCCCAAGATTATTGCGAGGCAGTGTCATTGCCTTATACCTAAAGACGATATTTTGGCCCGAGGAAATTTCTCATTAACCGAAGAAAACTATTATGACCTCCGAAGACTTGTGTCAGAAGTTTGAAAAATATATCCGGTTTAAAGAGTCATATTCTTTTAAAGTAGAACTAAATCATACAATGATATCTTTTGATCGGCATAATCGATAACGAGGTGACAGACCTCATGTCTGTATCTATGTATTTATTTATCACAAAGCCGAATAGTTAAAATGTTCGCTTTAGGACCATGAAATCCAGGTTCGAATCTCACCGTGTTCAATATGTTAAGGAGACTGCTTGATGCTATGAGTATGGGGAAATGATCTCAACGTGAGGCACCTTTAGAAACTCTCTGGAAAAAAAATACCACGAGTTGAGCAAAACATTGGGAGTGAAACTGGGTAGATGTCCATGATTATGATAGCACGAAGTAATAAATCAACGTGACCGAGAATCTGAGTACTGGAGTTGTTTAAACTGATAATCATGCCTTATTAATCATTCACTCACCCCTAGGCACCTCCCCCCCAAAAACAACAACGTAAATAAGGTCTTCTCAGTGTTGTTGCATTAAAAACTGTACCTGAACGGGAGTGTGCAAAATGGATTTGCTAGCGGCTCTTGCAGACGGGTGTGTCCGGTAAACTAGTAACTGGTCATTATCTATCTGAGAATATGCCGATGTACGTTAATATTCCAGACCGCTGTAAGTCTGCTGGGAGTTAGAGACTATGGACTTCGTTTAAGTCATTTCCCTAGGTTATGGAAAAATCTTGATAAATAACCTGCGACTTCGTTTGCATCCAGTGATATAGAACAGATCATTTTTTATTTTATTTTTTTTGGCAAACGTTTTCAGTCTTCAGAGTGTGGGATTGGCTCTGTGCAAAGACGTGCAGCACTAAAAAACAGAAAACAAATGAATCGCTTGATTCTTTTATTTTTTGTCTTTCATATGTTTTATATAGTATGGCTGGCAGAAGCCGAAAAAGGTTAAACCCACTGAAGATATACTTACTGGACAATGTATATCCCTAGCACGACCAAAAGCCACATCCCCCCCGCTGCAAATATATGACATTCAGTAAATCGATGGCATTGCACGAAATAGAACACAACAATCTTATATGGATATATGCATATATATGCTTGTATATGTTCAGGTAGGTATTCATCTATTAATGTAGAAATGTATTTATATCTATCTCTGTCTACATATCTGTGAATATAATAAAATAAAATAATGTTAGCCATTAATACTAGCTAATTAATATACGTACAATAATTATATAAGTTAACGCATATTAAATTTAACAGAATATCTGCATAAAATTTCTCAGTCTTAGTTTAGAGCAGTGTTTCGTAATTCTTTTTTTTTTTTTAACTTCCGGTCGCAAAATAACAAAAACGCTGGGTCTCGCTTTAAATTTAAATACAGGATTGTAATTCATGTGGAATAAATCATTCATTCTTTGTGCATGTGCACATCCTTCCTTATGGTCTTGAAATTGCATTTTCCAATAATATAGAAAATAAAGTTATACGTACCTGTGATTTTCTGAAATTGAGGAAGCGTCTAGTAAATAGTTCAGCATTATATATTTCAGCATATTCGCTGAAAGATTTTTATAATTCTGTTACTTAAAAAAAAAACACAATGTTCATTAAAATATGGCTTTTTAAAACCGCATGTGTAAAGTAGAATTTCGGATTTTATTTCCTGCTCAGGCGATATCATTCCTTCCAATTATTTTATTTCGCTCAGTAACGGCGTTTATTTTTCATTTATACTTTCAACTACTTGATAAAAAAAATATAGAAAATAAATGGGGGGATAAATCCTGTTTAAAAATTAATTTATCCCTTCTACAACGTACAGAAATAAAATTCAATGAAACCATAGTCATTTGAGTAGTATGTCGTCCATGAGGAGAAATAAAACTAACAAGAAGAGAGAGTCGAACTATACATTTATGTAACACGTTCCAGAACGTCATCCAATCTTAAGAGAGCATGCATATTTACTTACATATACGTCATATCCGCTTGACTGCTGTCTGTATATTTCAGTATTTCTCAATTTTTTTTCGACTTCAGTGAACATTTTTAGAATAACTAAAACTCTAAGGTGCATTTTAAATTTTAATAAAGAAAAATTAATCATAAAATTTGAAAATATGAAATTTTGGTTTAGCATTCCTTGACAAGATTAGAGATACATTTTTCACCTAAAAGGATTTACGAAGAATCTGTTGTTTTTTTTTTTTCAGAGTGACTCATAATAACTGATTTAAATCCATTGAAGAAGTCAAAAGGGAAACGATTATTGACACCTTTTTAAAGATTAAGTTATTTAGAATTCAGTTTGAAATATAAATTTTCATTGCCTGAAACTTGAACTCGGCATGCCAATAGCATTCTCACCATCGTTAACCGCTACACCACGTGCATAACTGCAACGTGTTACTCCAGCTGCAAGTATAATAGTAATTTCTACGATCTTTTATTCATTTTTTTATCATATATTTTACATATGCTTTTTTATATATATTAAAATGATTTCCACTGTATTTCTCTATATGCTTTCAATATAGCAAAATTGATTTTCAATGTTATTTTATACATGTTTTTAATATAGTAAAATTATATCCTGTTTATTACTCCGTATTCTTTTAATAAAGTAATAAAATAAATGGTTCCCAATTTATTTCTCTATATGTGTACAATATAATAGAACGATTTCCACTCTATTTATATATACGCTTACAGCATAGTAAAATAATGTCCACTGAATTCCTCTATATGCTTTCAATGTAGTAAAATAATTTCCAATGTATTTCTCTATATGTTTTCTATATAGTAACATGAATTTCGTTGCATTTCTACGTATGCTTTTGAGATTTTCAGTGTATCTATATATGTGTACATTTGAGTCACTGAATATATTGATGTATTTGTTTAGTAAATCTTATTTGTGATATTCTATGTAACTTAAAAAAGACATAAGAAAATGATGTCTGCGAACATGTTCATAGTACTTACTTGATTCTTCATCCATATTCCATTTCACTTGATCTTCCGAGCCGGAAATTTCGAGGGAGTATTGAAAATAACCTAAACAATTTTTTTTATTTAAAAATCTGTTATGATGTTGATTCGGGGTTTGTAGAGACAAACGCCAAATAACACGGAACAATAAAAAGGGTTTTAATAGGTTGGTAAAAAGGTACAGATATCGCCTGAGTAGTCAATAACTAGCTCAGGTAAGAACTTCTCTGACTATCTGTCTTAGTATTTATCGATCCACCCACGAGGATTGAATGTGTCACAAGGCCGGTTTAATGTGGGTATCTCCGAGCTCGTAGGCTCGGCCAAAAATATAGCCTTTGAACCCGCCTAGACGTGTTCAGGCCCTGTCTACCTCCCCGGACGAAACCATGCCCTTCGGCAAAACTTCTTCCGGGTTCCTCTCTACTAATGCAGAGAGTTCGACAGACGTCGCTTACAGTCAAAGATTGTATCACGACTCGGAGGTCTTACCCTCTCGGTCTATCTGTCTTGGTATTTATCTATCCACCCACGAGAACCGAATATGACACAAGGCCGGTTTAATGTGGGTATTCCCGAGCCCGTAAGCTCGACCAAAAATATAGCCTTTGAACCCGCCCAGACGGGTTCAGGCCCTGTCTACTTCCCTGGACGAAACCTTGCCCTTCGGCAAAGCTTCGTCCGGGTTCCTCTCTGCTAACGCAGAGAGTTCGACAGACGTCGCTTACAGTCTTTGACTGTATCACGACTCAGATAGACTCAACTGACATGCCACTATTTAAAGTATTTGTTCACAGACGCAGACAAGTTCATCTTCAAGAGGGGTGGTAGGTTTCCGACACAACAAAATCCAAATCCAAAATACGATGTTTAACCACTAAATTATTTCAGCCTAAACCTAGGACTAATTTGTAGCTTGAGGAAAATTACTGGAAGGAATTTTCGAAGAGTAGCAACTGGACAGAAAAGCCTTGATAGTATCGATGTTTAAATAGAGTTTACGCCAAACACTAATATTTATTGTTTGATATTTTTCCCTCAGATTTATTTTTGTGCCAATATGCATGTAATCATGAGAGTGAACTACATTCACTAGGTTTTTATTTTTTTAATGAATCACTCGCATCATATGAATAATTTTATAACCAGGTATGTAAATGATGAAATGACAACCTTTTCTTTTTTCGAGGTAATGAATATTACTGGGTAACCATCCTCCATCCTCACCCCCAGCAGCGGGATGAGACGGTATAAACGAGAAATGAAAGATGTAATGAAAAGTATTTAAGAATATGTAAAAGATGAGAAAAAAAAATGAAAAAGTGACTGACAAATTGTTGCAACATTTAAAGAAAGAAAATAATAATTTATGATGGAACAGAAGGAGACAAAAGCAAGCACGAAGGGAAAGCAATGACAGAGATATGTAAGAAGAAAGAAAGAAAAGAAAAACAATAGAGTAATATAGATGGGCTGAAAAGGAAGATGAAAGTAAAAAAAAATAACAGTGAATGACGGAAAGGACGAAATATTGGTAAATAAAGAGAGGAGCATATAAAGGGAGAGAGTGTAATGAAGAGAGGCGCATATAAAGGAAAAGGGAGTAGTGAAGAGAGGAGCATATAAAGTAGAGAGTGTAATGAAGAGACACGCAATTAAAGAGAGAGAGCATAATGGAGAGAGGAGCATATAAATGGAAAGAGCATAATGAAGAGAGGAGCATATAAAGGGAGAGGGTGTAATGAAGAGAGTAGCATATAAAGGGAGAGAGTATAATGAAGAGAGAAGCATATAAAGGAAGAGGGTGTAATGAAGAGAGGAGCATATAAAGGGAGAGGCCATAATGGAGAGAGGAGCATATAAAGGGAGAGAGCATAATGAAGAGAGGAGCATATAAAGGGAGAGGGTGTAATGAAGAGAGGAGCATATAAAGGGAGAGGGTGCAATGAAGAGAGACGCATATAAAGGGAGAGGGTGCAATGAAGAGAGGAGTATATAAAGGGAGAGGGTGCAATGAAGAGAGGAGCATATAAAGGGAGAGGGTGCAATGAAGAGAGGGGTATATAAAGGGCGAGGGTGCAATGAAGAGAGACGCATATAAAGGGAGAGAGTGTAATGAAGAGAGGAGCATATATAGGCAGAGTGCCTAATGAATAGTGAAGCATTTAAAGTAGAAGTCGTAACGAAGAGAGGAGCATATAAAGAAGAGGGTGTAATGAAGGGAGACACATATAAAGGGAGATGGCGTTGTGAAGAGAATTGCATATAAAGTTAGAGGTCGTAACGAAGAGAGGAGCATATAATGTAGATGGTGAAGTGAATAGAGAATCATATAAAAGGAGAGGGCGTAATGAAGGGGGGAGCATATAAAGGAAGAGGGCGTAATGAATAGTGTAAGCATTTAAAGTAGAGGGCCTAATGAAGAGGGGAGCATATAAAGGAAGAGTATGGAATAAAGACAGGTGCATATAAACGGAGATTGCGTAAAGTCGGCATAACGTAAGTACAGGAATATATATGAGGGTCTAGAGTGGATGAACGTAGGGGAAAGAAATTAAAAAAAGAAAAGGAGCAAGGAAAGGAAGATAAATGAATATATTTTGAATTAAACTAATAATAAAGACGCACAAATAGATGGGAAGTGTTTAAAGTAGAGATGAAAGAATTAATAATGATCTAAAAGTATGAATTGGATTAAAATAAACAGTAAAAGTCCAACAATTTATGACAACGGGATAAGAGATAAAAATACTGGAAAATTAGTGAATAAACCGAAAAACAAAATAGTTACATACGATGTTAGACAAATGATGACATAAGTAAAGAAAATAAATAAAAATATGAACAGAATGCAAATAAAAAGAGAAGTAAATAAAAACAAATAAATAGAGAAAAATCTATGAAAAAAATATATATTTCTAAACAATATTATTGTTATTATTATTGTTGTTGTTTTGCTGTCATTAATATTGTTATTATTATTGTTGTTATTTGTGGTATTACGTTGTCATAGAGTAATTTTAAGTGCCTAATTACCAAGTCCTCTACGTGATATACGATAAAAGATCACTGTAGGAGAGTTATCTATGCACATTTAGGAGAGTTTGTTTAGATGGAGAGGGATTTGGAGATGATATGTTATCAATAAAGAACTGACAAGAAGCAAAGAAATGACGAAAAAGAATCGTCAAGAAGCAAAGACGAAAAATAACTGTCAAGAAGCGAAGAAAAAAGAACTGACACGAATCAAAGAAAGAAAAGAACTGATAAGAAGCAAAGAAAGAAAAGAGTAGAGAAAAAAAGAGAGAAAGAAAAGAACTGATAAGAAGAAAAGAAAGAAAAAAAGAACTGATAAGAATCAAGGAAAGAAAGAAAAGAACTGATAAGAAGCAAAGAAAGAAAGAAAAGAACTGACAAGAAGCAAAGAAAGAAAAGAACTGATAAGAAGAAAAGAAAGAAAAAAAGAACTGATAAGAATTAAGGAAAGAAAGAAAAGAACTGATAAGAATCAAGGAAAGAAAGAAAAGAACTGATAAGAAGCAAAGAAAGAAAAGAGTAGAGAAAAAAGAGAGAAAGAAAAGAACTGATAAGAAGAAAAGAAAGAAAAAAAGAACTGATAAGAATCAAGGAAAGAAAGAAAAGAACTGATAAGAATCAAGGAAAGAAAGAAAAGAACTGACAAGAAGCAAAGAAAGAAAGAAAAGAACTGATAAGAATCAAAGAAAGAAAAAAAGAACTGATAAGAATCAAGGAAAGAAAGAAAAGAACTGACAAGAAGCAAAGAAAGAAAAGAACTGATAAGAAGAAAAGAAAGAAAAAAAGAACTGATAAGAATCAAGGAAAGAAAGAAAAGAACTGATAAGAAGCAAAGAAAGAAAAGAGTAGAGAAAAAAAGAGAGAAAGAAAAGAACTGATAAGAAGAAAAGAAAGAAAAAAAGAACTGATAAGAATCAAGGAAAGAAAGAAAAGAACTGATAAGAATCAAGGAAAAGAAAGAAAAGAACTGACAAGAAGCAAAGAAAGAAAGAAAAGATAAGAATCAAAGAAAGAAAAAAAAAAAACTGATAAATCAAGGAAAGAAAGAAAAGAACTGACAAGAAGCAAAAGAAAGAAAAGAACTGATAAGAAGAAAAGAAAGAAAAAAAAAGAACTGATAAGAATCAAGGAAAGAAAGAAAAGAACTGATAAGAAGCAAAGAAAGAAAAGAGAGAGAAAAAAAGAGAAAGAAAAAAAGAACTATAAGAAGAAAAGAAAGAAAAAAAGAACTGATAAGAATCAAGGAAAAGAAAGAAAAGAACTGAAGAAGAAAGAAAGAAAGAAAAGAACTGATAAAAAAGCAAAGAAAAAAAGAACTGATAAGAATCAAAGAAAAAAAAAAGAACTGATAAGAATCAAGGAAAGAAAGAAAAGAACTGATAAGAAGCAAAGAAAGAAAAGAGTAAAAAAAGAGAAAAAAAGAACTGATAAGAAGCAAAAAAGAAAGAAAAAGAACTGATAAGAATCAAGGAAAGAAAGAAAAGAACTGATAAGAAGCAAAGAAAGAAAAAAGAACTGACAAGAAGCAAAGAAAGAAAAGAACATAAGAAAAGAAAGAAAAAGAACAGATAAGAATCAAGGAAAGAAAGAAAAGAACTGATAAGAAGCAAAAGAAAGAAAGAAAAAAAAAAAGAGAGAAAGAAAAGAACTGATAAGAATCAAGGAAAGAAAAAAAAAGAACTGATAAGAAGCAAAAAAGAAAGAAAGAAAAAAAGAACTGATAAGAAGCAAAGAAAGAAAAGAAAAAAGAAGAAAAGAACTGAAAGAACAAAAAAAAAAAAAGAGTAGAAAAAAAAAGAAAAGGACTGATAAGAAAGAAAGAAAAAAAGAAAAGATAAGAATCAAGGAAAGAAAGAAAAGAACTGATAAAAAAAGAAAGAAAGAAAAGAACTGACAAGAAGCAAAGAAAAAGAAAAGAACTGATAAGAAGAAAAGAAAGAAAAAAAGAACTGATAAGAATCAAGGAAAGAAAGAAAAGAACTGATAAGAATCAAAGAAAGAAAAGAACTGATAAGAATCAAGGAAAGAAAAAAAGAACTGATAAGAAGCAAAGAAAGAAAAGAGTAGAAAAAAAGAGAGAAAGAAAAGAACTGATAAGAAGAAAAGAAAGAAAAAAAAAACTTAAGAATCAAGGAAAGAAAGACAATAACTGATAAGAAGCAAAGAAAGACAAGAACTGACAAGAAGCAAAGAAAGACAAGAACTGACAAGAAGAAAAGAAAGAAAAGAACTGACAAGAAGCAAAGAAAGACAAGAACTGATAAGAAGCAAAGAAAGAAAAAGAACTGATAAGAAAAAAGAAAGAAAAAAGAACTGATAAGAATCAAGGAAAGAAAGAAAAGAACTGATAAGAAGAAAGAGAAAAAAAGAAAAAGAAAAAAAAGAGAGAAAGAAAAGAACTGATAAGAATCAAGGAAAGAAAGAAAAGAACTGATAAGAATCAAGGAAAGAAAGAAAAGAACTGATAAGAAGCAAAGAAAGAAAGAAAAGAACTGACAAGAAGCAAAGAAAGAAAAGAACTGATAAGAAGAAAAGAAAGAAAAAAAGAACTGATAAGTATCAAGGAAAGAAAGAAAAGAACTGATAAGAAGCAAAGAAAGTCAAGAACTGACAAGAAGCAAAGAAAGAAAAAAAGAACTGATAAGATGCAAAGAAAGAAAAGAACTGATAAGAAGCAAAGTAAGAAAAGAACTGATGAGAAGAAAAGAAAGAAAAAAAGAACTGATAAGAATCAAGGAAAGAAAGAAAAGAACTGATAAGAAGCAAAGAAAGAAAAGAGTAGAGAAAAAAAGAGAGAAAGAAAAGAACAGATAAGAATCAAAGAAAGAAAGAAAAGAACTGATAAGAATCAAGGAAAGAAAGAAAAGAACTGATAAGAAGCAAAAGAAAGAAAAAAAAAGAACTGATAAGAAGCAAAGAAAGAAAAACTGATAAGAAGAAAAGAAAGAAAAAAACTGATAAGTATCAAGGAAAGAAAGAAAAGAACTGATAAGAAGCAAAGAAAGAAAGAAAAGAACTGACAAGAAGCAAAGAAAGAAAAGAACTGATAAGAAGAAAAGAAAGAAAAAAAGAACTGATAAGAATCAAGGAAAGAAAGAAAAGAACTGATAAGAATCAAAGAAAGAAAGAAAAGAACTGATAAGAATCAAAGAAAGAAAAGAACTGATAAGAATCAAGGAAAGAAAGAAAAGAACTGACAAGAAGCAAAGAAAGAAAAGAACTGATAAGAAGAAAAGAAAGAAAAAAAGAACTGATAAGAATCAAGGAGAGAAAGAAAAGAACTGATAAGAATCAAAGAAAGAAAGAAAAGAACTGATAAGAATCAAAGAAAGAAAAGAACTGATAAGAATCAAGGAAAGAAAGAAAAGAATGGAGAAGAAGAAAAGAAAGAAAGAAAAGAACTGATAAGAATCAAGGAAAGAAAGAAAAGAACTGATAAGAAGCAAAGAAAGAAAGAAAAGAACTGATAAGAATCAAGGAAAGAAAGAAAAGAACTGATAAGAAGCAAAGAAAGAAAGAAAAGAACTGATAAGAATCAAGGAAAGAAAGAAAAGAACTGATAAGAAGCAAAGAAAGAAAAAAAAGAACTGATAAGAATCAAGGAAAGAAAGAAAAGAACTGATAAGAAGCAAAGAAAGAAAGAAAAGAACTGACAAGAAGCAAAAGAAAGAAAAGAAAAGAAGATAAGAAGAAAAAAAGAAAAAAAGAACTGATAAGAATCAAGGAAAGAAAGAAAAGAACTGATAAGAATCAAAGAAAGAAAGAAAAGAACTGATAAGAATCAAAGAAAGAAAAGAGAGAAAAAAAAAAGAACTGATAAGAAGAAAAGAAAGAAAAAAAAACTGATAAGAATCAAGGAAAGAAAGAAAAGAACTGATAAGAAGCAAAAAAAGAAAAGAGAGAAAAAAGAGAGAAAGAAAAAAAGAACTGATAAGAAGAAAAGAAAGAAAAAAGAACTGATAAGAATCAAGGAAAAAAAAAAAGAACTGATAAGAAGAAAGAAAGAAAAGAGTAGAAAGAGAGAAAGAAAAGAAAAGAAGAAGAAAAGAAAGAAAAAGAACTGATAAGAAAAGAAAGAAAAAAAGAACTGAAAGATGCAAAGAAAGAAAAGAACTGATAAGAATCAAGGAAAGAAAGAAAAGAACTGACAAGAAGCAAAGAAAGAAAAGAACTGATAAGAATAAAAAAGAAAAGAACTGATAAAAAAAAAAAAGAAAGAAAAGAACTGATAAGAATCAAAGAAAGAAAGAAAAGAAGTGATAAGAATCAAGGAAAGAAAGAAAAGAACTCAAGGAAGAAGCTGTGACAAGAAGCAAAAGAAAAAAAAAAAGAACTGATAAGAATCAAAGAAAGAAAGAAAAAGAACTGACAAGAAGCAAAGAAAGAAAAGAACTGATAAGAAGCAAAGAAAGAAAAGAACTGATAAGAATCAAGGAAAGAAAGAAAAGAACTGATAAGAATCAAGGAAAGAAAGAAAAGAACTGATAAGATGCAAAGAAAGAAAAGAACTGACAAGAATCAAGGAAAGAAAGAAAAGAACTGATAAGAAGCAAAGACAGAAAGAAAAGATCTGATAAGAATCAAGGAAAGAAAAAAAGAACTGATAAGAATCAAGGAAAGAAAGAATAGAACTGACAAGATGCAAAGAAAGACAAGAACTGACAAGAAGCAAAGAAAGAAAAGCATTGACAAGAAGGAAACAAAGAAAAGAAATGACAGGAAAATAGAAAGAAAGAAAATGTAATATAGTAACAACCTTAAGTCAAAGCTTATGAAGCTTTACTTGACTCATTCTTCTTTAGTGTTGGAAAACATTTATTTTATTTTGATTGATGGTTACAAGTGAATAGGTTGATGGAACGTGCTTATTTTATTACCACAGAAAGGAAGATGAAAAACTGGTGAATGAATAAAAGACAAATGCCGGAAGTATGTGACTAATAAAAAGAGTAAAGGAGATTAAAGTAAAATAAAAGAAGTTGAAAGAAATGTAGAAACAAGTGAGAGTCAAAATAATATTAAAAGGAAGCGAATATGATTAAGTTAATAAGTAAGAAAGAAATTGTATAGTTGCGTGTATTACGAGTATGCTAGATTCTTAGTTATCGTTGCTATTTTCATAAGTTCGATTACAAATGGACGCTCCTGTCAAACAAAGCACTGCTTAAAAAATATCAATAAAGAAGGAAGAAAAAAAAAGGACAAAAAGGGAAATCTTTTAATAATGAGGTGGAATCAATGAGGAAATATTCAAATTGTTTTTTTAATACGAAAGTAAAACTTAAGAGGCCACGAAATGCGGATGAAAAAAGTTAACTAGGAAAATTTCAAGGAAAGAAAAAAATGATAAACTAACAAATATAAGATGCGCAAAAGTAAGACAAAAAAGATAGGCGAAAGAACTCTGATTGAAAGACAAGTGAAGGAAAAAAAAGGACGAATCATTAAAAAAATTATGAGGACAAAGCGAAGAGAACCAGGAAAAATGAAAGAATTAATAAAAAAAAAAAAAAGAAGAAACGTACTTAAAAGAAAGTGAATATCAGGAAAAAAATGATTCCTATAAAAGTAATCCATAAATCTGTTGAACCGAATAAAAAGCATCTTTTTTTTTTCTTCATATTTTTCTTGAGCCATGGAATGGTTTACGCCAATCTGATACAGCATTTTAAAGCCTTCCGCTTTTCTTTCTCTTTCTCTTTCTCTCTCTCATTCTCTCTCTTCCTCTTCCTCTCTCTTATTATAAACCGAGAATCAATAATTCCACCCTTATTTGAATTTTGAATGCAACGGAGCAGCGCTGAGCCGGTCGTACGATTTCGGAAGCGAGGCGGGCAGTTACTGAATCTGATCGTCTACTTAATAACAAGAACATGAATTAAAATGAAAAGGAAGAGATTGAACAGAAGAAGAAATCAAGTGAGTGACAACAGAGAGTGGGACATGCTATAATATGGGAAGGATGATGATGATGATGATGAGGAGGAGGAGGAGGAGGAAGGGGAGACATTTCCTGTGAATTAAGCCGGGAAGTTGTGAATCAGAGGGTAGCATGAAAAGGGTGTGCAAATGGAGGAAAGTACGGATGCGATGGGGAGAGGAAGAAAATATTTGTCGAATGAATGGATTGATGACTGAATTATGGAGAATAAAAGAGATTTTAAAAAAAAAAGGCAAGGAAAAAAAGTAGAAAGAGAGAAGGAATAACGAAGAAAAATGAATTAAAGAAGGCATAGAAAAGGGAAAAGCAAGCAAAGTATAGATGGAGAGAAAGAGACAAAAAAAGAAAAAAGTATGGGATCAAATAAAAAGATGTAAACGAAATACTGGAAGGAAGGAAAATGTAATGGATGGTGACATTTTGACTACATTAGAAATAAATAAATACAGAAAGAAAAAAAGAAAGAAAGAAAAAAGAAATAAAAAGAAAGAAAGTGGGATGGTAGTATATAATGAATAAAAAAAGAGAAAGATGTAAATAAAAACAAAACAAAACAGGAAAAAAATAAAAAAAACGAAAAGAGGCAATCATTCATACGGGAGAAAGAAGAAAGAAAGAAGTGATAAAAATAAATAAGTACATCGGTACTGGAAGATTTGAAAAATACTGAGAAAAGGGTGATTAAAAAGAAACAATGAAAAATATGAAAATGAATGTAAACAATCGTAAATAGAAAATGAAACGATACCGAAAGAAAGAAAAATGAAAGAAAACAGAAAGAAAGAATGATATAAAAGAAGAACGCAAGTATGATGGGAAAAGGTAAAAAAGAAGATAAGTAACTTGGAAAAAATGAAAATGGAGGAAAGAAAGAAAAAAAGTAAAAAGAAGAAAAGCAAATATTTTGGAAACAGATAAGAAGAAAAGAAAGTAAGATGTTAAAAGTAAAAAAGAAGGAAAGCGAGTATGTTGGAAACATAAAAAAAGAAAGAAGGAAAGTAAAATTGAAAAACTTAAAAAGAAGGAAAATGAGTAAGATAGAAAAAGGTAAAAAGAAGGTACGTGAGTAAATTGGAACAAGTGAAAAAAGAAGAAAAGAAAGATGGAAAAAGTGAAAAGAAGAAAAGAAAGAAGGAAAAAAGTAAAAAGAAGGTACGGGAGTAAGTTGGAACAAGTGAAAAAAGAAGAAAAGAAAGATGGAAAAAGTGAAAAGAAGGAAAGCAAGTATGTTAGAAACAGATAAAAGAAAGAAAGAAATTAAAATGGAAAAATAAAAGAATGAAAGCGAGTAAAATGGAAAATGGTAAAAAAGAAGGAAAGTAAGTGAAATGGAAAAAAAAAGTAAAAAAAAAGAAAGTAATTTGAAAAAAAGGTAAGGCAGAAAGAAAGAAAGTGAGAAGGAACAACTAAAAAGAAGGAAATCGATTAAGATCGAAAAAAGTGAAAATGAAAGAAAAATAGTAAAATTGAATAAATTTAAAAAAAGTAAGATAGTGTGTAAGTTGGAAAAAGTTAAGCCAGAAGAAAAGAAAGATAGAAAAATTAAAATGGACAGCGAGCAAGTTGAAAAAAGGCAAAAAAGGAAAGAAAGTGAGATGAAAAATGTTAAAAAAAGAAAGAAAGAAAGTAAGTAAAAAAGAAAGAAAACGAATAATATAGAAAAGGGAAAAAGAAGGAAAGAAAATAAGACGGAAAAGTATAAAAACAAAGAAACAAAAAACGAATGAAAGAAAAAACCCAAAACATATGTAAAATGATTGAAGGACGAAGGAAGAATAAATATGATAAAGCATAGAAAGACCGGAAGATCGAAGTGGAAATGAGAAAAGAAATAAAAAACTAAAATAAAAAAAAAACTAAAGAAGGAAATATTTAAGATGAAAAGAAAGAAAAATATAAATGGAAAGAAAAAAAAAGAAACAAATTAAATGAAAAGAAGAAAAACCGAGCTAAAATATAAAAGTAAAAAAAGTACAGAAAATAAAAGAAAGGAGAAAACAAACATTGACACTTAAACGAATGAGAAACAGCGTAAGAAAGAAAAGACTAAATAAGGGAAAGAACTAGGTGAAGTGAATAGAAATATAGAATGTGAAAGGAAAAAGAAATAATGTCGTGTTAAAAGACTAAAAATGAAAGAGAAAAAATTGAATGAAGAAAAATTGAAGAAGAAGCAACTCAGCGGAAACGGAAGGCAAAACAAATAACGAAAAGCAACATTATGAAAAGGACAAAGAAAAAAAAAACAATAAAAAAAACGAGTCAAAGATCTCAATAAGTAGAACTGCACAGTGTTAAAAAATTATAATAAGGAAAAGAAAAAGGAAAAAAAAACATCTTAATAAGGAATGGGATCGCAATATTTATTGAGCTACGTGCTGTAAAATACTTGCTGTTATTAACCCAATCTTTCACACGACCTAATATGTCTCTTGCTTGATTAAAAATGAAATCTGTTTGATCTCGGTTACTTTATTCGAAGAACGTTGTCTCCTATTTCGTTTCGTGAGAGATATAAACTCAACCCAGACCTCAACTGAGACTACTGCATACGATCCATCGCTAAAGATGCTGATAAATGTTGGATCCCTATGCGGATTCAGTAAGTATCTGACTCTTATACTCTACTCTTACAAGAGCCAGATAAGGCCAAAAATGGAGTACTGTTGCCATTCTGTGGCTAGAACTACCAAATATTTAATTTGCAATCACGATAGAGCCCGAAAACCGTCTCCGGTTCTTTGTGGGCGATTAAATATTTTCCACCCTAGAATCCCATTCTCACAGACCAAACATCGCAAGGTTTATTATTTTCGATGAAAGTGTTCCGACGGACTATATTTCTATTTTCCATCAGTTCTAATATTCACGTCTCTGAACCACCATGCCGCGCACATTGTAACAAAGCATCCTCATTCCCTTCGTTGCATTGGTGAGATGTAAATTCGATTCAAGTAGCTTCTTCCCACGAACCTCTACTATTTGAAACCGACACCCAAGAAGATTATTTCCCGATTGCTACAATCTTAAGATTAGGGTCAACCGTTACTTCCCCATATAAACCGTGCCTCTTCCTCTGGAACACTCTACATCGAGTAGTTCTTGAGTCTTTTACAGGGTGAATGTCATTGTAAAATAGTACACATACGTGGTCCATTGTTTTTATATCAAAAAGTATATGAAGAAAGAGTTCAATTTTTTGAACAATACTGAGAATGTGAGTGACTCTTTCTCAAAATTATCGACAAATCTTGATACTTTTCATTTTCTCTTACCAAGCATAATAAAAGGAAACAAACTCATTTTTTACAGTTTTCTCTAATGACTGCAAATTAAAAACAAGTATTTGTTTTCGATCTCCCGAGACTGTGATAAAGAAATATTTTGAATTTAACATGAACATTAAATTAGTGTTTTTTTTTATCATTTAACCCCAAGGAAGGCAATAAAACAGTAATATGAAAGAGGCTACTTAGTAAAAAAAAATATATGAGAAATAAAAAAAAAACATTATTAAGGGGCAAGAAGAATAGAAGGACTCAAATGAAGAAGACAGTAGATAAAATTTGATACTGCATTTAAATTATTGAAGGTCAAAGTTAACTGGAAACCAAAATGCCGGTAGAATGTCCCAAAAGTAAATGAGAGAGAAGAAACGTTTAACGGGATGCTTAAGGTTACATTTAGCCATTTCAAAAGTAAAATGACGTGACCTTGTCGCGTATCTAGTACTTACACTCGTATAATCTAGGTACCAAAGAACCCCGTTGATCAGAACAATTACCATAGAGTAATTTATAGAAAAGACATAGAGAAGCTCTGTTACAGAGGAAAGTGATTGAAGCCGAAATGACAGGTCAGAACAAATAACATTAGCATCTCATTACGAAAATATCTCATACCCCTAAATAAATTAATTATTTTACATATTAATATTGGCACCTTGATATTCATTAAGGTTAATCAATATTTCAGTCGATTAGTTGTAACTTTTCCAAAAAATTCTAGCTTAACATCAAATACAAATGTTTTTTCTTGGTTTCTAGAGATCTTATATATAGGAATATTTTATTTCATTCTCATACAAACCTCTTTAAATGGTAGACTGCAGATTGTAGATTGATACAGATAGAGACTATGAACTATTGTATTTCTTTTGAGTGTGAAAGGGATACTTATTATTAATATACTCTTGAGTTTAAAGCTAATCGTTTGTGACTATTCCACCCCCAAAAAACGTCTAATCGTCTGCATTTGTCTTGATACAGTACTGTATGAGAACAGGAATTGAACACAGAATAAGTTGCGTAAGAGCTCCTTTTTGTCGGAAAACGTCAAATGGTGCAAAACCAAAATATTAACCTGATAACACTTTTTTAAATAGCCTCGTTAGATGTAGATTTTCATATGGTTGTTATGCATGGCTTCTAACCTGTTCAGAAATGTCTCCTCTATCGATTAAATACATCCGTTTTATTTTTCAGTTCGTTGATTAAAATGGCTTCAAACGATTGAATACTTTTGGTCTAAAGGAAGACAATCATTTACCATATCCTGTAGACTTGCGCCACAGGAGTATAAATAAAGTGCTTTATCAAATAGCAAAATCTATCACTTGAGGACTACCAACATCAAAAATGCAAATATAAAATGTAACTGATTGGTTGGTTTGTTGATTTTGTTTCGTGGCAGTGCAACCTCTATAGGCTATTTAATAGCGAAATCGAGATAATTTGAACACAATTTTATGGCTACAACTTCAGATAAAAATTATTGTTGATCAATTTCCTAAAAAATGTATTGCTGATAATTCTATTATAAAATGCATTACTAGTCATTATATTATATATATGTACTGTTGGTAATTTGACTATATGTGACGGTTACACACCTGGCCCAGTGTCGGATCCTTTGGTTACGGCGCCGACGGTGACGTCGCTCCTCCTGGTCGCTCCTCCTGGGTCCAAGCGTGCCGCTCCAACCCTCTGGTCAGATGATCACCAGCCTCGCCTCTCCCGACTCGCTTCCAACACCTGGTCACTAAAGCAACTGTACCGATCTCCGGTCTGTCTACCCACGCTGTGTTTAGATCTTAGACAGACGGGACCAGCAGGGGCTGGGGCCGATACGAGCTGAGTCCGACGGGGTTGAAACACAACAAAACAAAACTCACGACACCAAACAAAATTGTTGATAAAAAGGGTAACAACCTTTTATATCTTAAAGTCCGTTACATAAAAAACAAAATTGTTCTCAATTCCCCGACCCGCTCTGTGGACTATGGCACCAAGCTTCTATCACACAATAGGAAAATGTCGAATTACCTACTTTCTAGAATCATGTATGTATGTCGGAGTGTGGTTCAGTTCGACACTGGGGCTAGTTTCTATCGATCATTCGCAGTTGATTCTTCTCTCCGACTTGAGTTGTATTTCTTCTTCTTCTTCTACTTGGGCTGGAAGTTCTTCTTGTCTGAGGGTTCTTTTCTCGCTGCCGTCCGGGGATGAACTTTAACTTCTCATCGACTTTCGGCTTGTCTGCAGCTCCAATTCTTCTCAGGCTTTCAGGCAATCTTCTTCTTCGTTTGTTTAGACTGGTAGATTTCTTGTTCCAACCCAGTGGAAGATTTCTTGCTTCGATTCAGTGGAAGATTTCTTGCTTCAATTCGGTGGAAGATTTCTTGTCTTCAACTTGGGCTGGAAGGATTTCTTGTTTCGAGGATTCTTCTGTCGTCCGAGGGTGAACTGCAACTCACGCCCAACCTAACTCCAACTTCAACTCAACTTCAGCTCCAACTGATTTCTGCCGACTGGGGTCCTGCTTATATTGACGCCGCAACAAACCGGGGTGGGTCGGTCGGCGTCAGGGTTTCTCGATAATTTCAAAAGCCGTATTAATTTTGACTTTCCATTATCGTTATTGTTTTCACCCCTACTTTCTCACAGTGCTCTTGGGGGGCGGCGCATATCTATTTCTCTTAGTCTCTCCTCATGTCAGGTGATCGCTCTCAACCAATCGTTCCTGATCGAACCTTTCTTTCTCTTCTTTTCCGCAGCCCACGTGACCGCCTCGTCCAACAGTTATTGATCGAGGTTTTCTTTCCTTCTTCTTCCGCGGTCACGTGATTGTATTCGACCAATTGTTATTGACCGAACACCCTCTCCCTTTTGTTGGCGGGTGTGGTTACATCGTGCTGGTTTTAAAAAAAACAAAATCCGATTTCGCACCTTTTGCACGTACGCAAAATGACAATCCTTGCCCTCTCTCACCTGGACTTTGTCAAACAGCCCGCTGCTAATTAGTCTTGACTTTTAGAAAGGATCTTTTCCGCCTTCCTGGCGCCCTCCGTGGTCCAAAAACAATTGCTCTTCTTTTACCTCTTTTTGTTTTCCTGATAGCCGAGAATCTTAATTATCTAGGTCGAAATATCTCTACTTTCTTAACGGGGTGTCCAATTCTTAACAGGTCAATTCCGTATATCGTTTTCACCAGTCACTTCCCCAACCCAAAGACACTTTCTCTCTGACTAAAGTAAAATTCATTTCTATTATTCTAATTTAAAAGTTACCTTTCGTTATTTTGATAAGAATTCTTCTACGAAAATGTCGGTCAGCGCTCGCGACCGATATCTCCAATTATTCTTTCAACAAAAATTAAGGTCAGTCAGAGGCTCTGACCGACATCTGGTCCACACCCAGCGGCCTGTTTTGATATCATGTCTTTTCCTTTCTTTCCCCTTTTGTTATTATCTTTCCTTTCTTCCTTTTTCCTTTCTTTCTTTTTCCTTGCTTTAGGATCGTTTAGTACATTCTTAGTGAATTATTTTCAACCCAGTTATTTTCCGTTTTAAAGAAAAATTAACAACCTGTTTAATAAACTGAATAAGGAAAAAATTAACTTATTTCTATGAATATTTCCAACCATAAAATCCTCGAATGAACTTTTGTATACTACGCCTCTCAAGACAGAGAGTTGAATCGAGTCGAGCTTCGGCTTGACGGTCGAACTCTGCCTCTGAGCAGAGAGGGAACTGACGAGGCCCCGCCGATAAGTCTCGTTCGGGGAGGTTGACCATCCCGGTCCTGTTTATACAGGTTATAATTTTTGGCCGAGCCTACGGGCCATAAGCCACGTTAAAATCGGCCTTGTGCCACATGCAACCCTCGTGGGGGGTGGCTTTTCAAGCCGAGAAGCTAAATCGATATTTTTTGAAGAGGAACCCAGACGAGACCCCGAAGGCAGCAGTTTTCGTTGGTTGACCAACCAGATCCCGTTTATACGGGTTCTACCTAATTTTTGCTATCAAAACCCACGTTAAACTCGGGTTTGTGCGTCAA